CCTCTCCAAAGTGTGTTATCACATAGCCCCGAGTGATGCTGGAGGCTAGGGATGGCAAGGAGACAGGAGGGTACAATCTACGGGAAGGGAGGGAGGCTCCGCATCACGGATGAGCTTATTTCACAGTTCAAAGCGGAACGTGACCGCGAGGCGAGCGACGCCGGAATAAGTGGGCCGTCGGTAGGCTTGACAGTCGCTCTGCGGCCGGGCAGAGAGCAAAAGGGAGAACGACAGTGCCGTGCTTATCGGGGGCGACAAGAGGGAAAACCGCAATCAGTTGCTCGCCTTGCTGCGAGGATGGAAAGTGTTAGGAGAGGACGCGGGCGTATGGAGGCCTTCACGAGTGTTTCACAATGAGTGTACTGTATGTCCTCGTCCTTCTGTACTTGTAGGACAGTATTAAAAGTCGTCTTGTCACATGACTACTCAACACACAGCCATTATTTTCTTGGGAACTCTATGCCCAAAGCACGTTAGTTGGAAAATAATGGTGTTCACACAAAATATACTGTATTGACACTTGGGGCACAATTTGGACATTTTACTTAGCGGTGAACTCACTTTTGTTGCCGGATAGGTTGAGACATGATTTATTATTATTATTTTTTAAAAGGGCAGTAAATTTATATTATAACCAAGTAATATTTATTAACTTTTGTCCATAGAATATTTACAGTGCAAAAGTGAAGTGTGTCATCAACAGTAACTCATATCAACTAAAAATTAATTAAAAAGAATATTGTATTCATGTTTATTATGTCGTATGTGGTTGGTATGTCCCTTCCACACGATGGCAAGTGAGGAAGGGACTCAGATAAGTGTTGGAGTTGGGAAGGAGCAAAATGTGGTGCACTGTCATGGTTGGAGCTAACACAAACGTGTGCTAACACAATAGCTTAACAGGGGTGGGCACACACACACACACAACACAACAGGACCAAGTTGGAGCCAATACTCACGAATCGATGACAACATTGTTTTACTCAGCTGACAAATATACAATTAATTCAAGCAATCAGTTCACTGTTAGTTTTTTCAAATATTGTTTTTAATTGGAAAGGGGATCTTTTTGATCGTTGTTCATGCGAGGTTCGTTGGTAACCAACAGCCACAAAACCCCTCATTTTCTTCCAAATCCGCCGGCGAGTTTGCGCATTAAATAAGCTGTATTTAAATTATTTTCAATCAGATTGAGGTTCTAAGCGAAACATGACGGCAGAAAGAGCACCTGCCTCTTTTAATGCGATACTGCAGCTGTGCCTTTCGCTTTTTATTTTATTTATTTATTTTCCTTCTAAATAAATAGATGAATGAATACCTCCCCTCGCTCAAATTGATTAGAGCGTTTATTAAACGCGTCTCCCCCCCACATTGGTGAAAAGATGTAATTTCCCACACCTCTCCATGGCAGAACAACATAATTACACAGCAGAGTGATTAGTAAGTCGAATGAATGCAGCCACTCATTTATTTTTCCTTCAAGAACCAGAAACGTGTTTTAAATGCCGTGTGACAGATTAAGCTAATGGTTAACATGTGCCAAAAAGGCCAGGTAATCGGTAACAGCAAATGTGGAACGAGTGCTCTTTCAAGTGAATAAGAAATGTAAGCTATCACATCATGCAAACCGCTGTGAGTCAAAAGAATCTGTTGGCTGTATTGTAGAATCCAAAAGGGCTGAAGCAACACATTTGCTTCAGACTTTGGGCTGCTTGATTAGCCACTTGCCTACTTGCAACATCTTAGCTCCGCTTTCGTCATTCTAATGACAATTGCATTTTACGTTGGCCCCCACAGTGTAGGAAGGCGGGGTGTGCAGTGACTTGTTTGCATGAGTCCCCACGTAAAATTGATTTCAAAACTGATTTCAGCCAGAATGTGGCAAGTCATGTTAAGTGCACTGTAAAATCTATATCCTTTGTTTTTGACCAAATATCAGAGACCTTTTTCTGAAAATAACTTGGAACTGTTTAAATGATCACAAAGAGCAGTCTTCTTTCATCATTCAAAATGCTGTTTCCACCAATTTTGTCTAATTCAGGATGTGTAATATGTATTTATTTTTTTTTTTTTAATCGATGTGTCAGTAAAGAGCACTTTTCTGTGACCTCTGTCTGCTATCGAGAAACTTCGGAGACATTAAAAGATACAGTATCTACAATTTTTAAAAAAAGTAACCGTGGTGGCAGTGTGGAATATTAAACTTCAAATACATGCTTCTCCATCTGACATCTCAATTCTCCACTTGAAGGTTTGAGGAATGCATCGGGCTAGTCAACACTTCTAGCCAGTGGGCTTGAAAATGTAATTTGTCTTTTTCTTCTCAGCCTGACTACTGTGTTTCAAATCTAGAGAGAAAAAAAATCTGACTACAATCAGAGGTAAATCACAGCACATTGCTGGAATGTCACCGACGCGTGATTTGACTCTCTTTCGAAGTCGCGCGCAAGCCTGCGAAATTGCCTCGAAGGGATTTATTAACATGTTGGATGGTGTGTCATTGAGCGTGGATTTCATCATTCATTTGGAATACCGCAAGAAAGTTGACAATGGTGAGCAGGTGATGATGTTCATTATAAACTAAGATTAAAAGCAGAACTCTTGGATTTTGAGTGTCCTATATTATGAGAGTTCCGGATTAGTGTTATCATACATTAGCATTGTTTTTGTTGCTCTTGGGCCTTTGTGTGACTCTGTGACAGCAAATCTTCTGTTCTCTACAAAAATGTGTCAGAAAAAAAAAAAATCAGGCAAGTGCGACGCATTCATTTCATGGCAGTTTTGTTTCATTGTTTGTTTCGATCTTATCATGCCAAATGTAGGCAGACGAATTCTGTTGAACTTTGCGCAAGTATGGCGCAAATGAGAAAACAACCTGTATGTCTGTACGCATGAACCGGGAAGTAGCCTACAAGCTCGTAAACCGACAAACAAAATGAAGGACTGAACAACCTTTTTTTTTTCTTTTGTTAATTTTTTTTTTGAGTCACGTTGGTTGTGTTTTCCCCTTTCCAGATTGCAAATATTAAAACTATGGGGCTGTGTCATTCTGAACCTGTATTGAGAATATGCGGTGGGAACACTATTTCAACTGTAAATATGGAGATCTACACGCCAATTAAAAAAAACAAAACACTTCCCCATCACGGTAGTTTTAGGGAGCACATTAATGATCCTGATCAATTGAAACAGACGTGTGGGAGGAGCAAAACATCTGAATCATGCAGGATACCGGCTCTCGAGGACCGGCGTTTGACACCTGTGGTTTAGGCCAATTAAAAGCTCCAATATTATTGTGACGTATCATCCCTTGAAGTTTAACCGTTTCAGGGACAGCGGCTACTACAGTGGACTGCTTCTCATGTTATCAGCTTACAACTTATCATTATTGGTGCATGAAAACGTTAAGATCAGATTTGCTTTTGCGCATTATTTCTTCCGAATTATGATGAATAAACATGTCATTTCATTTTTTTTTTTTAAATTTGGTAAAAACAAAGCAAACAAAAAAAAAACCCAACTTCTATGGAATTCAGGGGTGCACAGGGTGGTTACGTTGAAATTAATTAAGAATTAATTAAGAATTATGAGGAGGACCTTTCTCAAAAGATGTCAAAGCCAAACTGATCTGACATTCAGATCTAAGTATTTGTATCAAGAATGAAATGACAAAAATGTTTTCCAATTTTTATGACAAAAGTGACAATTATTGTGGTTGTAAAGGCGGGCATCTTCACGTATTGGATCTTATTGCGGAGGCAAACCAAATAAAATGTCCAGTGTGTGTGTTTTCTTGGTGCCACGCTTTCTGAGGTCTGTTTTTTTTTTTTTTTTTTTTTTACTATCAGTAACAACTGCTGTATCTTTACACCACTGTCATCACTTTGCACTTGACTCTGCTGCTGACCAGGCAATTGTGAGGAGCCATTAACTCGCTAATGCAAATGAAGGAAATATGTTGTGTCACCCTTTGTGGGTCGCATTAAGCCCGTCAACTTTGACGTAGAATTAGTTTATTATCATAGAGCTCCAGAACATTTGTGAGCTAATATTGGAGCGTTGGTAAAGCAAATTGGAAGTCAGGAAAAAAAAAAAAACCTTTTGAATGTGACATTTGGCAGGCATGGCTATCGTGAGTAAAACTACAAAAAAAAAAAAAAAATAGTCTCACTAACCCATACCTGAAAAGACACAGGAAGCGTTCTGTTTTTGAAGCAGCCATTTAAGGATTTGGGGGGCCATTTCCAGCTGTCCTTAAAAAGCAGTCCTCACATTTTTCCTCTGATTTTTACCAAATTTGAACCACGAACACCCCATGAATCCGCAATGCTAAATTGCTAATAATTGGAGTATACGTCTCTCAAAATTAGCATGGCAGCTAATTTTGATTTTTATAAGAGTTAATAAATCTTTTTCAACAATATTGATGGCATTATTGAATTAGATTTTGTCTGGTTGTTTCAGTTTGATGACTTGCCCTAAAACACAAATCCCTAAATAAGGTGCCCCTTGCTGTTGGATATCGGTGTTATAACTCTCCTGACACGTTAATTTCCTCGTCCAAATTCACAGGATGGCTCCTCCGAAGGCCGCATTTTCGGCCGCATGACTTCATTTCCGGCGCGACTCGACCCCACGTGGTCTCTAAATTCACATGAATCCGGTCCAAATTCGCCACGGTCTATGCGGTCCACGGAGGCTACATGAGAAGGAGCCTTTGAATGGCGTGAAAGGACCCACGCTGCGAATTGTCTTTCTAGAATTTGGAAGCCACCTGCGGTCGAGTTGCGCCGGAAGCGATGTCATGCGCCAGAAAAATGTGGCCGAAAACGCTGCCTTCGGAGGATGCAGCCTGTGAATTTGGAAACCTCCTCTGTGTACTCACATCTAGGCCATGGTCTGGCTCACCTCCCAACTTCCACGCATATAAACATTGGGGGGAAAAAAAGCTGGCACATGTCTCTTCTCACAAATCAAACCTTCTCATTGTGTCCTCTCAGAAACTTCACAGATGTCTGCAGAGCCACTTTGCAGGATGGAAGCTACGTCCATTATATTCAGCCCGCTCTCGGCTGTCAAGTCGGCTGCATTTCTCTTTGTGCAAGACGACGACCGTGAGGGCGACGGGCAGAACAGCCGTCACCTCAATGTCTCCCTGGCTGATCATGAATGAGACACTCGTAAAGAGCCACCATCTCACCCACAAGTAGGCCAATCTCTGTTGCGCACACACACACACACACACACACACACACACACACACACACACACACACACACACACACACACACACACACAGGGAAAGTGCCACAACATGTTCATCCAACCAACTAAAGCCTCTATCCCTCTTTAGTTTTCATTTGTAAAACAATAAAAGTGATTTTTCTTTGTGTTTTGGTAAAAAAAAAAAAAAAATCTCTTGAAAGAAGTGCATGAAAAATAAATAATCTGTCCATTTCGAAGCCTTTATCTCCAGGCGTGTTGTAAAAAAAAAAAAAGACTAAAGAAAACAAAAAAAAAAGACAAGAATTTTATAGAGGTTATGAGCATCAGCAAACAATATAAAAAAGTGTTAATAGACATAACTGTGACTGCTGCCTCACATTGCAGTAAAAGGACAAGGAAACATGGCAGGGTTATTAGAATTGATTAACAATATTAGACCCTTCTACACACAAACGGTTCAATTATTTACTTTCAATTTAAATATCTCAGTGCTATCTGTTTTTTTGGGAGACTGAAACGAATTAATGGCATTTCCATTCATTTTAATGGGCAAAGGTGATTTGAGATTTAGGAGTGGCTTACGAGTTACGAGCCTACGTGAACTCGTACTGTATGTCAAGGCACCACAGTATGTGAATTCACAAATGCCGACCCGCATGGAAAGTGGCACAGACTGATGGTGAGATGAAAATAAGACCCGAGAGACTCCAATAAAATAAAGTAATGCTAAATGGGGGAGCATTCAACCATTGTGGGCGTCACTGATTAACGGCGCGTGCATTTCTGGGTTGCTTCGCCGGGCTATTTATCCGACATGTGCACTTGTACAAAAGCAGATATTGTTCGTGATGGAGACGGAGGGAGAACGAGGGCAATTTGGATCCTCATTAAATTTTCAAAAGTCCTGATGGTCCTCACAAAATTGAACCAACTGTTCCAAAGCAACCTTCATTTTATGCTACAGTAACTGCAAATTAGTTTCACAAAAGTGTTTTAATCACACACACTGCAGAGTTAATTTGCTGTGCGCTAATTTTCCACACTCCCCTCTTAGATGACCATCAGTTATAGAGCACGATGGCTTGACTGATCAGCGCCAATCTCTTATTCGGGCCGCATTCTTTTCCAGCTTTCCCGCGCACATGTTCCACTCTTACTGTACATTGTACTGGACTATAATAAAATAATAATTAAAAAAAAACAAATCTTGGATTATGTTTATCATCCATCCATACATTTTCTGTAACGCTTACCTTTCATTTTTTCTTCATTTTTTCCAAAGCGGTGAAGATTACTATTGATTTGTAAACAAAACATTTTTATGTTGTGTTGGCGAATGGATGGATGAAGTTATCAAATTAGTTCTGGACAAAATGTTCACTTTTTACTACTCCAAATGGCACACAAACGTGAAATATCCCTCTAAGTCATTTTATTGAGTGGAAATATATATATATGTATATTTTTAAAGCCACAGAGAATATTTGAAATACTTAATGAAAACCAAAAATAGTCATTGTATGAATTAATCGTGTGACCAAATTATCCGCAACTCTAATGGCTTTGAGTCATGTAGTCACGTAAGACAACTGACCTATTATTAATGTGTTAGTATTTAAAATGACCACTTTAAATTCTGTCAAATATTTTCTATGAATTTTTAAGTATTTTTCAAATTAGTTAGGGGAAGCTTTGTTACATCATTTACCCTTTCATGCACCCTCTAACCTGAAAACATGATAAACTGTCCACTGTAGTAACCGTTGTCCCCGAAAGGATGAATAAAGAATGAAAATAAAAATGATGTATGATCAAGGTAATTATTTTAGATGATATTCCAAATGAAGTGTTATTTCCATCGCTGGAGAAAATACACCATTTTTTTTTCTTTTTTCACAAAAGCTCTGTGGCAATCGAGTGACATGCAAATAAATCCTGTAAGTCATTGTGACATTTTCGCCCATTGAGTTTAAAAATAGTAGTGTTGACGAGGTGCCGGGCGCTGAGCCACTGAATGGAGCTCAAGGCTGGCTGAACTACAGTGAAACCTCCTTTTATTTATTTCATCCTTGAGTCCGTTGGAGTGGCCATTTGTCGGCACGCTCTCTCCTGTGCAGGCGCGAAGGCCGCTTCCTTCTCTCCATCCACTGGCAGTATTCTCCGTTAATGAACAGCACTAGTTCACATTGTCATGATAATCAGTGTTTATTTGGCAAAGGAAAACCACCATTAATGTCCCTTGAACAATCCGAAAAATACACCGTAATCCCCTTTTAAATCATGGGTTAACTTCCGTATTACGTTTGACAGTTATCTTGAGCTCTCACCTCTATTCGCCATCTCTTTATCTATTTCTGAAAGAAACTCATTGAAGAGCTGATTGCAGGGTGCCATAGGTGGGGGCCATTCAATGGCGCGCCACCTGCATGGAAATTGCCTTTAATCGTCCTCGGTCATTGTACCAGTGAAAGTGGTAATTGGCTCGCGCCAGCAATCAGGAAGGGTCATCTGCGAGACCCATTGACTAAATGTTGTTGCCTTATTGCCAAAAAAGGGCCGGAATTATGATGGCCCCGACCTTCTTTTGTTTTTAAATATTCTTTAGGAATCCCAAACCTGCTTGTTCGTATTTTCAAAGCGGACGTGGCAATGTTTGCCGACTCTTCTTTGCAAAAACGATCCTGTTCTCGCAGATTGTTTGACCAAAATGTTCTTCATGACGATTACATGATTACTCCTAAAATCTTAAAAGGTGATTTAAAAAAACCCGTG